CAATATTTATTGTATAAAATATTTTGTTGGTTAAAGTCCAAGAAGTCCCCACTAGTTAGGTACTCTTAGTAGACCAGTGGTCTACTGAGCACAGGCACAGATAAGTAGCTCGCTAGGTGCAAAATAGATTTAGTTACAATATAAGCTGTGAGGGGCTTCGCCCCCCCCCCCCAATTCCATAACCCTAATTTAATATCTTTATGATGAATTTTTAAAAATATAAGGATTCATAATTTATACTGATTACCTAATAATTAGATACATACATACTTGGCTACATATAATGGTTAATATAAATTGGTTACCTATTAATTGTAATATAAAATAATTAATTGTTTGGAATAATATACCATTTAATGAATTAGCTCTAATTTTATTGATACCTACATTAGTTTCATTTTTATATTATACCTATCCAAGTAGAGCTCTGGAGTTACAGAAAATGTATTTTTATTTTATGTAGCGCATAGATTTTTTTAACTAGTTTATTTTAAAATTTTAATTGCAATTTTCAGCATTAAATGTAATTGTTTTACAATACAATCAAACATGAATGTAATTGTATAACAATACAATTAAACAATTCACAGTGTTAGGTTTATAAGTGTAAAATAATATTATTATACTATCATAATATTTTATTTATATACAGTATACAACAATATCAGTCTTGTAAAGTATTCGAATACAAGTATTTGAATACTTGTATTAAAATACTTTTTGAAGTATTTTTTGGTATTCTAAATACAATTTTTTTAAAGTATTTTTTAAGTATTCTGAATACTTTTTAAAAGTATTTTTAACGAAATGTAAATACTTGTATTTAAATACTATAAATAGGGCTCGGAACTTAATGCACTTAAAAAGTACTAAATATGCATGCACTTATGCGCTTAAAAAAGTACAAATATGCTCTCAAAATATGCACTTATATTTAATTATTTTACACAACATTTTCATTTGTACAACTATTCTTTTTAAATTTGTAAATAAAAAAAAAAGCAAAGTAATATAAGTTATTAATTTATTATGATTTATATTTTCTAATCATAATTTAAACAAAAAAATAATAAAAAAATCGCTTTAAAAATTAAAAATGTTCCTTGAATAAAAAAATGCACTTCTGTCGAGTTATATTTATATACCTGAAATACCTAAAATCTATAAATGCCATTAACAATAGTCAATAATCATTGAGTTATTTTCTTATAAAAGTATTTATAGAAAATCGTCGTATTTCGATAGCAGCTGTTTCTATTTTAGATAAAGCTAGCTGTAGTTGTAATTTATATATATATTTATAGAATATCATATTAACCAATAGAGGAAAAACATAGTTTTTAATGTCAAATGGAAATTTGAATAATACGATTCAAGAATATCTAGTAAGGTCTCTGAATATGAATGTATTTATTTTTTTATTTACAAATTTTCATATTAAATATCCATAAATTATAAAATATGCTTTAAAAAATTGTAAAATTAAGAAATATGCTCTAAAATCTAAAAATCACTAAATATGCAAAAATATGCACTAAAAACTTTTGATATGTTTTTCGTAGTGTCTTGAAATGAATTTCTAGCTTACTTAGCAATAAATCTAATGGTTCAAAAAAATCATGCAAATGCAACAACTTCCGAGCCCTAACTATAAACTTATTATAAATAAATTGTATTAGTTGAAAATGAAATTGCTGACTTTCTCAACAAGAGTCAAACTAAAAAAATCAACGTATTAAATTATACTCCAATTTTAAAAAAGGTTTTTGTAAAGTATAATACTCACCTCCCCTCAAGTGCACCTATTGAAATGGCATTTAGTATAGGAGCCTGTATTTTAACAAAAAAAAGAGGGAAGATGAGCGATTCTAATTTTGAAAAAACCATGTTATTGAAAAGTAATTCTAAAATTATCTAAATTCTAAATAATAACAGATTTTAATTTTTTTTTTTCAAATAGAAACAAATTTTAATAAAAACATAAAGATTATTTCATTATTACAGTTAGTTTTTTTCTCTGAATAGAAATTTAATTTATATTCATATTTGTATAAATGTATAATATTTGATTTATACGAATGTTAAATTATATTAACCATAAATATATAATGATGCTAAATTATATATTACCTATTATATTGATACATTATAAGTATATTATATTACTATATTAGGTATAAATATATTATGATATTATATTATTATATATTGATAATACCTAATATGAGCAGTATGTGCTACATAATACATTGTTAACCTAATTTGTAAGTTATTTCATATTTATTAATAAACATGTTTGGAAACAGGCAACAGCTACTATAAGGTGTAAAATTTAAAAAAATACTTGTATTTGTATTCAAATACTTTGTGAGTATTCGTAAAATACATTTTTATGTAAGTATTTTAAAAGTATTTTTAATACTTTTTTATTTTAATACTTTTTCAAAAGTATTTTTTACAAGACTGACCATTAGTGACCAATATACTATTATGATGAATAGATCAAACATATACTTGCCTATAATAATTTTCAGAGGAGGCCTCGCGACTGCCGTCAATTTTAGCTCAAAATACTTTAGGTACGTTTTAATAAAATTAAAGTTAGTTTACGTTGTCCGATTTTTATTCTGAAAAACCCGAACTCGCCGGAAAATTGTCTAGATCGTAAGGAACACTTTATGAAAATTCAAACTTATATTATTCTAAACTGTAATTGATTAAAAATTGCCTAAAGGTTGCCCCTCATATAATAGCCGTAGCGAAGCCATTTATTAATATTTAATAATAATATCATTAGTGACCAAAATAAATGTATTAAGAGAAGCGTAGTATTAACGTTCTTTCATCACTGTAGTAGGTACTGTACCATATACTAAAGTTCTACAGACGACGGCTTCTTAGAACAAGTATTTTCTATATTGGGCAATGGGCATAATCAAAGACAAAAATGATAAATTAACAGGGCAGGAATTTTATATTTTATTTTTAATTTGAGAAATCCAAATTATTAAAATTCTCAGGTGCTGCATTTGCACCACCTGCCCCCCCCCCCATTCGGGCGTGCCTGTCTGAGCACTTAAGAATTAAAACACTTCTGAATGAAGCTAAATTAGGATATTACGACAATGTTCTAGTTAATAATTATTTGATACAAACAAAATTGAATTTTTTTAATTTATTAAACATTTAAATTAGTTATGTTTTCAATATTCACAACCACAACAACCGACAGACAATACACAAAATTCAAATGTGTCAATGGTGCCATCAAAACTGAGGTCAATCTTCACTATCTAATACTCAACCATATAATATAAATTCAAGCAGAAACCAAAAGACATTTAATTCATTTTTATTTCAATTTTCTATTAGTAGGTATTTGTATTTTTTATTTTCTACACTGACTATTATAAATATTATAAAATATTATGAATATTTAACGTTTATCATACCAACAGAATTAAATTTTATTATTACTAAACAAATTATAAACATCAGATAAAATAAATTATTATTTATCAAAACTCATAACAGTGGCGGCTATCTCGACAAATATAACAGATGCTCACTTAAAATTAACTAGTACCTACCCCCTACCAGTATTTCGGGTAACATAAAAAATTACTCATTTCACAATAAACTATTTAACCTACTAACATTTAAAGTTTATTTTAAAGACAAAATAGTTATAGCCCATCCACCCCAATTATGAAAGGGGTGCTTCAGGTGCTTGATCACCTTTTCAGATACGTGATAGCCGCCACTGACTCATAAGTATTGAAAATATATTAGTTAATTATGAATTAGGTTTTATTGCACTGAAAGGTAGGAAATAATGATTTGATTTCCTTTTAATTTTCAAGTTTTCTGTAGGTATTTAATAAATTATAATAAATTACTTATATAAAATTATGAAAGCTACAGTTAATTAACTAATTTATTACATTTATGTATTAATTGTCTACACTATATAATTATAATATTATGCATATGTTATAAATTGTGAAACTTATAATGTAATATAAAATATAATATTTTTCTGTATACATAAATACTGTACAGTAAACTGTATAAATGTACTTGACTAAAATATATTTGGAAAAATATACAATAAATATATTTTTTGAAAAATTAAATACTTAGATGTTTTTTCACTGTTTAATTTACATTTGTATTACATATTTACATAGGGTATCTTATTACTCAAAATGAATCTATGTTAATTGTTAACTTTTACTATATAATATTTTATAATTTTTTACTATAACATATATTAAATAAAGATTTTTTCAAAGATAATTTTTTATAAAGCATAATATAATATTTATTTTTCCTTGGCTAAAACTATTTTGTAGGTATTTATTATTTAGTAATCAAAAATTTAAATGTTTTATAAAGTATCACCTCCCATATTCACCTCTATAATAATAATAGATCTTACATACTAAACAAAAATTTGTAACAAGTAACATTATGAATTATGATTATGTCAAATTTCCCGATGACAGTTGAGAACATTGCAAGATACATAGGTACAACAAAATAGTGCAAGTGTTTACCTAACCTAACCAGCCATCATCATAACATAAGTAAAACATATTTGCTGCATCAAAAGTACATTTTTGGTTTGGATTTTAAAATTAAAATATACCACTTGATTTGGAAAATATCACCATTCCTTGAAATTGGTTTAGAAATAATAAATTATGCTCAATTAACTCGAGGGTTACCGCATTATTATTATTATTAGTTAAGATTTATTAACAGAGAACTTTTACATTGATATTTTACAAAGGTACCAATAAAAGTTATTTAAATAACAGCAGTTATTGGGCCATGGAAAATAAAAATACATTTTTGAACAAATAATAAAATATCTGGGGCATTTAAGTTTAAAAATGTCACATAATAAATATCTGATGCACAAATACTTGTATAAAATAAAATTGTATTATTAATATCAGTCTTGATTTTTCTTAACTATTTTAAAAAACCATTCATTAATTATTTTCTTCTTCTTCTTCTTCTTCTTCTTCTACTAGTTCTTGCTTAGTAATAATTTCGAACTCTCCAGAAAATTGTTTTGTAGCAAATAATAACATTTCGGTTTCTGGTTCGCTAAGCCTATCATAGAAATCTTTGATACCCTGAAAATTAAAATAAATTAATATAATAATTAATAGCAATAGTAATCTAGCTAACAAAAATAAAATGTTGTTCAGGAATAGGGATTAGATTTTGAAGCAATAAAAAATAATAAAAAAAAAGTAAAAAAGTAATAATACATAATATATGTATAATACATATATGTAATAATTCATGTATTATTTTACACATACTAGTAATAGATTCTATAGATATTAGAATATTAGATATCATGGGTACTTTGACAAACATGCTGGAAGTGCTTTGTGGATGTGTATAACAGCGTTTTAGTTAAACATGAAGATACTTTCTACTTTCTAGCATATTATTTTAAACATAACATAAAAAAAATTAAATTTATCACCTTTTACAATTGTATACCTATTAGAATTTAGAACCAAAAATACGTACAAAATTATTATGATAAATTGATAATTTCACACAAAATAACAATAAAGGAAAATATATAAGAATACCGAACTTTTATATTATTCTATTTTTATTTTTTTTTTTGCTTTCAAATCTTATCTCTATTCATAAAAGACTATTTAGATACAGTTTTATGCATTCATCAGTAATCATACAATTTTAAATACGTTTAAATGTGATGCTGGCTTTCACAAAAATTATTTTAACTAAACATATACAAAGTATTTAGATTATTAGGTTTGTTGTTTGTATTTAATTGAATTTACTAAAAATAAGAGCCTTTGTAAATAGAAAACCTTATTAATAAATGACAATTGATTTTATAAACTTGTGTAGATAACAAGAAAATGTGTCTAGTTGCTATGAATTTCAAAAATTATACTTAGTAATAAATTAATTAATTAAATAAATACCAAAGATAATCGTAAAACTGAGTCTGGTGGATCGTTAACTAACATCAGTTTTTCCTTTTTTGATAGATTAATTGGCATATGTTTTAATTTGATAAGGAATTCCCTTATTTTATTTGGATTTTGTTCTGCACATGCTCTCTGCTCTAAATACTTGTTAACCTATGAAAAAAACAAATATTTGCTAACATTTTCAAACATGGTAGTAAATCAAAAGATTAAATTTGAAGCACTTCGTATAAAATTGTTGAATGGTTCATGCCTCCAATGAGTTTTGTATTTTCTTGAGTTTTTTTTAGTAATTCAAAAACCTGAAACAGTAATAATTTTTTTTTTTTAAACTAAGATGCAAGATAAATTATTTCACATTTGAATATTTTATTCGTTTGTCTATTCTTTTTATCAGCCTTATTAGAAGAACCAAAGAAATCTAATCTTTTATTTTTTAAACATACCATTGATTTCCATCTTGTGTCTTATGTTATATTAAAAGTGATAAACATTTTCTTATTAAAAATTACAATTTACAAACACTTGGACACAAGCTAGTAAAATAATTATACCGCATACAATCATAAATGTTGTCTATATGCATGTAATATAGAGCCTAATATGGTATTCGGTCGTTACACGGTATGCTGCTATGCTTTTATGTTTATGCCATTTAGCTATTTCACAATCTTAAGAAGGTAAATATTGACACAGTTAAGATTAATTGGGCAATAGACTGAAAATTGTTAATATTGTGTAAATTACACACAATACTGCTAAAAGATAAACAATAAACATTTTTTAAATTGCATGTCAAATCTTAGAAAACTCTTCGATTAACCATAATAATATTATTAAAGGTACTGGTAGTAAGTAGGTAATCATTTTACAAATAAATTTACCTCGTTGTTACAGAGTACGGCTACTTGTGGATTTTTTCTGTATAAAAAAGAAAAAGACAAATCAATAAGAAACAAAGTGCAATATATTGTAGATAGATAATTATTTTGCAAATTTAATACTTACACCTCCATTTTCGTCGTTCATAAATAGTACAATAGTCAATAACTATATAATATGGTATTTGATAATAATTAATTGGACCCGAAATTTGATTTTTATGAAATCTCGCTGTTATCAAAATCCGGAAATCAGCAGACGCTGTCCCAGGCCCGTAAGTTATCATCACAATCGTTATCATTACTTGGCGCAACAGTGTAGACATGGTCGGGAACTACAAAACTATATTGTACCAACAAAAATATTATGTAATGGATGGACCACGGTTAAAATTGAAATCACAATCTTTCAAAGTTTTAAGGTACCTACCTATCTTATAAGTTATAACTGAATAACTCATGACTTGGTTTGATTTTGATGGTTCTAATATTTAAGGTTTTGATGAAGAAAAATTCGATATCTACTAATCAATATGTATATTTTGGATTTGCCAAAAACGCGAGATTTAAGATTTTTAAAATATCGATGCCGGTTTATGATTTTTTAAAAACCAAAATCTCAAATAACAACATTTTTAAAAACCGAACGCACTACAGAATACTACCGAGATCAATGCCACTTAAATCGAAAATATTTTCTTTTAATTTCATTACGAGCTGTACCTATAACGTAAGGTTTATGATTTTCCATTTGCTCAAAGAACGTTTGGTGTACGGCGACTGTACCTATAATATATGGTTATATAAAAATAAGAAATAGACACAGTACTCTTACAGTTTTACTTGTATATAGTAGTATATTGTGACTATTGTGTATTTAGATTTTAGGCCCTACTTAACTGTAATAAATTCTAGCTGAGGGCTTTCAAAAATTAATCTATTAAAAATGTTTAGGCACTAAAATGTATCACCTTTCAAACAAACTGAATCATAGAAAAACATCCCAGATGGCCTTTTTTTAAGGGTTTTTTTTCTTACATTTTTATAACATCAATACAATTTCTGTAATCTAATTTTATAATTATTGTTATAGTTATGAATGTAGTATAATTTACTCAATGTTGGGTATTAAATTATTTGAATAATCATACATTTTTCATTCTTTGAAAAAATTTCAGGAAACTTACCGTATGTGATTACTAGTGTATAGGCAGTAGGCACTATCGTCGTTACGCTCCTCGGCGCTTGAATTCAGCATAAAAAACCACGTTTTTGAAAAAAAAGGGTGTCCTGTAAAGTAGGTTTATACCAAATGTGGTTGCATCAAAAACTTAGGAGTAGGTACCAAAACACACATTTAAAAAAAAAAAAAATTAAAAAAAATTAGTCTTTGGTTATTTTTACCCAGGATACAATGATATTTTTAAAAATCTATTGTTGTCCGGTTTTTTTGGTATGCCATCAAAAGTAAGTGCAATAGGGAAAATTTGATTACTTAAAAAGCTTAAGCGTACCAAAACACACATTTTCAAAAAAAAAAATTAGTCAAAAAAGTAACTTTTTGTTATTTTTGTCGACGTTACCTGCACGATGTTTTAAAAAATCAATTGTTTTCCGGTTTGTTTGGTATAACTTCCTTAATAAAGAAGAGCGACAATTGTTTCCAACATATTCAAATTCAGTGCCTCAAAACACACATTTTGAAAAAAATAAAAATTAAAAACGAGCTTGGGCCGTAAACTAGATTTATACTTATAATTGTTAAAAATTGTTTATTTACTGTAGCTTAATGAATATTAATTAATATGTGATTTTTCAAGTGTGTAAGTGTCATATTGAAAATGAAAATACAAATATTTTTTCAACAATTGTAATTTAAGTTATTGGGTGGGGGGGGGGGTAAAGTTAATATGATGGAACATTTTTAACTCAACTCAGTTACAAACTGGTTCATTCATTTTTTAATTACACCCATGTCACCCATTAATTATTGTCTTCCAAATTGTTCAAATAACTAACCATTTTCTAGTTAAATACATAAAATAGTTAAATCTTAATGCACCCGTTGCCAATATAATTTTGTCCACACAAATACACTCTACTAGAATAATGATCCTGTCCTATATATACCTATAGTATCCTATTAATATCAGCCTAATTCAATATTTTTTTAAAAACTTTAATAGTGGGTATAATTTTCTACAGGCTTCATTGGACTCAATTTTTAAATTTTTAAATCTTAAACTTTATAATAGGTTTGTCTTTAAAAATACAGAACAATTTTAAGGTTTTTTTACAAATAATTTTATAGCATTATTTGAAATAAATTAACTCTTGGAATTTAATGCGGGCTGTAAGAAGTCTTCTTCTTTATTCAAATAAAAAATAGCTATCAAAATTTGACTATTCTACAAGACCTAAGCATTTTTCCTATTAAGTCATTTCTGCTAATATAATATAATATAATACACTGTATCAACACCCGTTTAATAGGTATCGGGCAGTAGATAAGTAGAACGTATTATAAGTAAGGGGGTAACTATAGTGCAATAGTGCATACCAATATTTTAATCAATGCTAATATATAAAATATAATTTTCCAAATTGCTTAGAAATACGGACAATTTGAAAAAACTATTACAGTAAAAAAATGAACCTATACAGTCCACTTAAATACCGAGATCAACAAAGTGGTTTCTATGTAACCATTTCCATGCAAAAATAATTCAACAAATTCAACAAAGTTAATAATAATAATATACAATAATAATCTAAAATATTTTTAAATTAATGAGTAGTAATAATTTTAAAAATTTACAAAATTTAAAAAAATTAACCCGTTAACAAAAAAACACTGCAAAGATATGACTTGCACTTTATATATATTTTTATTTATATGTTCACTTGCAAAATATACTCTTAGTATATTTGGATTCCTTAAAAGTGTACTAGGAATTCGTTATCGTAAGAATAACATTTTGAAGTCAACATTTGTAACTGAAAAGCAATCGGATATGAGCATATGTAGTGTATGTGACCAAATCGAGGAAGAATATGAATGTTGCAAGATTCAATGTTGCAGTAAAAAATCATCGGAAAGTACAGAATCACTTGATTGTAATTTTTGTTGTAAATCCGAAAAAGTATCAAATGCTAGTAAAACCCGTAAACCCTACTCCTACAAAAAACAACACAAAGCGATTGACAGATTTTATTCATCAAACCTTCGGGGCCGACGTAAATCTAATGAAACTAATAATACAATCCATACTAAACTTGCTTGTATTATCAAGAGGTTGAATCATCTTATAGAGACATGTCCAAGTCTGAATGATACGTCGAAAAATTGTTCGGCCAAAGATCGACCACCTACTAGTATGTCTGCAATAGCAAACCCTCACAATGGAATAATATGTGATTCAAAGTCGACGTGTAAAATAGAACAGGTTAAAAACGAATGCGAGAAACAGCCACAGGAAATCGTCATTCCTGCAGTATATAAAACTTGTACAATGCCTGTTTTTAACAACACTTTTAGTCTTCCAGAAACTAGATCTCCGAATGATTGTTTGACCGTGGTTCAACACGGTGTAACCATTGGTTATATAATGTATTCTAAAATTGATCCCTGTGAAGTTAACTGTTCAAAGTCGTCATGTAACATAGAACCGGCTAAGAACGATTGCGAGGAACCGACACAAGAACCTGTCATTCCGGTGGATACCTGCTGCAGTGCACCTCCTGTTAAATGTCTATCCGAAACTAAAGTTCAACACAATTCGACACAATCTTTAACTCGAAGTCCAGTGGATATTCCCTGCAGTAGACAAAATCTAATTACACCAGTAGCAGACTGCAGCAAAGAGAAATCATGCAGTGAGTTGTTGTATTCGATCGATTTATGTCCAGAGGTGGAAGCTAAAAAACAAAAAGAGGACTGCACTGTTGATGGTAAAGATAATAAAGACGGCGATAATAATGGTAATGATATTAAAGACGACGAAACAAATAAACCCCCGCCCGTACCTGTTAAAATGATTAAAAGCATAGGGAAAAACATCACTAAACCAAAAACATCAAACAAACAAAACCCGGGAAATTTTAAGGATGAGATTAAGCCTAAAGTGAAACCGAATAGTAAACATAATAAGCTAACCATTAACGAAAAGAAAAATATAAATAAGCATTAAATTTAACCTACTTAAATTTGACGCTTATTTATATTTTTAATGGTTAGCTTATTAGGTTTACTATTCGGTTTCACTTTAGGCTTAATCTCATCCTTACAATTTCCCGGGTTTTGGTTGTTTGACGTTTTTGGTTTAGTAATGTTTTTCCCTATGCTTTAGTCCCTATGTTTTTATTTGTTTCGTCGTCTTTAATATCATTACCATTATTATCGCCGACTTTATTATCTTTACCATCAACAGTGCAGTCCTCTTTTTGTTTTTTAGCCTCCACCTCTGGACATAAATCGATCGAGTACAATTCACTACATGATTTCTCTTTGCTGCAGTCTGCTACTGGTGTAATTAGTTTTTGTCTACTGCAGGGAATATCCACTGGACATCGAGTTAAAGATTGTTTAGAATTGTGTAGAACTTTAGTTTTGGATAGACATTTAACAGGAGGTGCACTGCAGCAGGTATCCACCGGAATGACAGGTTCTTGTGTCGGTTCCTCGCAATCGTTTTTAGCTGGTTCTATGTTACATGACGACTTTGAACAGTTAACTTCGCAGGGATCAATTTTAGAATACATTATAATATAACCAATGGCCACACCATGTTGAACCACTGTCAAACAATCGGAGATCTAGTTTCTGGAAGACTAAAAGTGTTGTTAAAAACAGGCATTGAATATTTTATTTGTTACTCTTTTGGATAAATGAAAATTGTTTTTATTTTATCGAATTTAAAAATTATAAATTAAAATATAGAAATGTATAAATCATAGTTTCAGTTATTTTTTCACTAAACATAACTCACGTGTGAAATATGACGGTATTATAATATATAGGTATATATAGTAACTATAGATACCTATAGGCTATAGCCTATAGTAAGATTAATTTAAATTAATTGCTTTTGTATCTGTGTTCGATATGATGGAAGTCAAAAGTCTGTTTGATTTTT